CCCCCCCCCCCCCTTCCCTTCCACCCCTCTGACCAATCAGCATTGCTCTCACTACCTGCTGCTTAGTGCAATTCCTTAGGGTAGGGGGCATGTTGGGCCACCAGAAAGCCAGTCCAAGTCCATTGCTTTTGTGTGAGCGCCGCAAGTCCTGCTTATATGGCTGCCGTTCTCCAGATTCTGTGCCACTGTCCTGACTCCTGTGTGCCAGCCTCCTAATGAGGACCGGTGACACCCACCCTGAGCGCTCTCTGTGCTATGATCCCACCTAAGCACCCCCCAGCCAACAGCTTACAAAAACCGACCCCTTCACCAAAACAAGCTTAAAGAAAAACTCTGGTTAAAATTTGTATTAACCCTCGCAGTGGATCTACCCCAGCACTGCAAGGGTTAACTGCTAGTTTTTGCCTAAAAATAATTGCAGAGGATTGCACTGACCTGACCTGAATGACACGATTTTTTAAAGAACACGTATGTGACCTGAGCATCTGTTCCTATACTTTGTGCTGTTATTTTATTTTGTTTGTTCCCCTCTGAGAATCTTCTACATTCCTTCCTCGCTGACTCATGTCTCCCCACCCACAGGTTGTGGTATAAAGGGTATTTCGGAGGTGTGACCGCCATGAGCAGGAACCAGTTTGCCAAGGTGAACGGCTATTCCAACAATTACTGGGGCTGGGGAGGCGAGGACGACGACCTGCGGCTCAGGTAAGGGACATGTTCAGCTGGGGGCGGTAATGTTTTCGCCTTACTGTGTGACGCAACTCGCACTACTACGGATATTCCAACACCTCCTTTCCTTCACCCAACACCTCCTTTCCTTCACCCAACCCCTCCTTTCCTTCACCCAACCCCTCCTTTCCTTCACCCAACCCCTCCTTTCCTTCACCCAACCCCTCCTTTCCTTCACCCAACCCCTCCTTTCCTTCACCCAACCCCTCCTTTCCTTCACCCAACCCCTCCTTTCCTTCACCCAACCCCTCCTTTCCTCCACCCACCTCCTCCTTTCCTCCACCCAACACCTCCTCCTTTCCTCCACCCAACACCTCCTCCTTTCCTCCACCCAACACCTCCTCCTTTCCTCCACCCAACACCTCCTCCTTTCCTCCACCCAACACCTCCTCCTTTCCTCCACCCAACACCTCCTCCTTTCCTCCACCCAACACCTCCTCCTTTCCTCCACCCAACACCTCCTCCTTTCCTCCACCCAACACCTCCTTCATAAACCCTGCAGACCCCTAGAAGGGCGTACAATGTAGATCTTAATGCATTCTCCAAAATCTCATGATGTTAAGGTGAACCTGTCATGGGGTGGGCTGCCATTTCTGAGACTGCTACTGGCCAGATCACATGTGCTAAAGTAACAGTATCTGTGCCTTTTAACGTGTGCTTATCGCACCGCATAATGCACCACACGCAAGGCCATTCTGAATGGCACCCAACCGCACAGGCGTTGTGCTTGGCTGCAACGCATGGTACTGCAACAGCGTGCTTTGTGTTGACGTGAGGTTAAAAAAAAAAAATAGTGCATGCATAATTTATTTCACTGTTGGAACGCACATCCACCAGGAAGAATTGCACATAGCATGCAGTGCATTGCGCCATGCCATAGCGTACCCCAACCACAGATGCCGTGCCTTTAGCGCAACGCTATAGTGTGAAGCGGCCTTAATAGTGGGCGTCCCTGACTCAGAACAAGGGGGCAGATCTGTAACATCACAAAACGGTCATAAGAACTTGTGTGCTTGATCGGGGTAACAAATACTTTTCCTTGTTGCACTCCTTACCGAAACATCCCTTGTAGTGGGGGGTGCTCGCAGTGACTGCGGATAGCGCTAAAGCCCGATGAAGGGACCCTGTGTGGCCCCAAAAGCGCTTGTTGTTCATACGACAAGAAACCTCATTAAATGAACATTTGATTATCCTAAGAAGGATTTTTGGTGTGCTGGTGACATCTCTACACAATTCTTGATCGGGGTAAAGCAGGAGGGTCAGTATGACAGCCAGGCAACTGGGGGTTTCAGAAGGAGAGATCGACAATGGCAGCCTCCAATGGTTTCCTTTTTAAAGGGGAACTCCTAGTACAGTTTCATGGAGCTATACATATTGAATAATTTATTGTAATGCTTTTTAGTAGTTTGGTAGAGACTCCCTCTAGTGGCCATCTGTAGAAAAGGAAATATCAGGAATTGGGGTTAGCGTCCCTGCCCAAAAGTACAACTCCAGGCAAAACTCCTACAACTTTCTGAATAGCATTTGAAGTGTTAGAACTTCTGTTCGGTTTTTATTGCTGTTTGTGTAGCTGCTATTAGCTGTGGCCCAGCTAAAAGATTGCTACAATGGGGTCTTACTACCATGCCTCCCTCCCACTTCCCTGTAACCTAGAGCTAGCCAAATTTCAGCCCTCCAGCTGTGGTGAAACTACAAATCCCGTTGGGCATTGCAGCCTTCTGATTAGCCCCAGGCATAACTCATAGAGGCAGATGCATTGTGGGATTTGTAATTTTATCACAGCTGGATGTCTGGAGTTTGGCTACCTCTGCTCTAACCAGGTGTTTCTTTTTTGAATTACCTGTCCAGCAAATGATATCTGGGCCCCTTGCTGACTCTATTTCTGCCAGCGGGGACCGCTAATCCAGCGCCACACAGTAACACTTGGCTCCCATCAGGGTGAGGTTTGTAGTCCTCTGGATCTTCAGAGGACCCCTCTGGTCTACATCCTGTGTGTGGGCTTTTATTTAAAGGAGAAGTATGAAGGAAGTGCTTTTCACTCACCTCATAGTTCTAGCCGACCTGTGACAATGAAACTGTCATAGGTCGGCTTAGTAGATCGGGAGGTGAGCGAACACATACCGGTGTTCGCTCACCTCTCGATCCTGTCACGGCTCTCTGCCGTGACAGGGGGAGGGGCTGGATTCCCCCCTCCCCGCTCCGATCCGCCAGCGCTGACTGGCGGAACGGGAGGGGGCGGGTACAGCTGGCTCTGCCTCTAGATAGGCAGAGCCAGCTGTCACTCACGCAGCTGGGCGGATCTCGACATTGATGTCGGGATGCGCTCCGGCGTCTCAGTATACCGCGAGCTGTAGCTTGCGGTATACTGAGCTTAGGGTAACGGGAGGACGCTAGTTTGTATCCTCCCGTTACCCTAAGGAGAACTATGGGGAAAAGCCCTGACCCCATAGTCCTCCTTTAATCCCCCCCCCCCCTTATATCCTTTTATCTCCTGGACCCCAGTGACAGTCCGGGCCATGAGCTGTCACTGGGGGTGGGGGGTGGTGTAACTTGGGACTAACTTGTTTGGCCACAAAGCCACTCAACCCCTTCTTGAGGTTCATACATGAAGCCCCTGCGATGGCCTGAGGCTGAGCAGACCTCCGAAAAGGCTGGAATGGCCAGAATTTCACAGGCACTGGCAAACCTCTGGTTCTAGAAGGCATGCCCTCATCATGCCCCCACCAACCAGAGAGGCCGGTGCTGAGAAATGGGCAAGCCTGAAGACCTCCAGGTAGGAAGCTCCGGGGTGCGCAGGAGATCCAAGACTTTGTGTCTTTGCTAGCCGCCATGTTGGGCAAAAGGAGACCCCGGTATCACAGCATGAGTCCTATGGGATCCCGGGAGGACGTCGGCTCTTTTTATCGGAAAGGTCGATACATAAAATAAAACGGATGTATAATCTGCTGAAACGTCTATAGTTCTTTTATACTCTAACAGAGAATCCTCGGCCATCAATCTGTGTACGAGAATTGTCCGTTGTGTTTGGGCGAGCCATTAAAATCCTCTTCCCTGAGCGCCCGATGATAATAAACGTGGATTGTGGAAGGTATAAAAGCCTCTCTGAGCATTCCGGGCCGCACTATCAGTATGAGAAATCAGCCCCTGAACAGTCCGCATTGTCCTTGGATGAATAGAGAACGTGTTCAGGCAAAATACTGATTACCTAATAAGTGCCCATTAATCCCACAAGACGTACAGATCTCTGAAGATTGAACGCGCTGGGCCCGGGCTATGGGAGGTTATGGAAGGACAGGGCCGGGGGAAGGAAGAAGACCTGCTACTAACTTTACACGTCCGTGCAAAGAAATTCCCGACATCTCACAGTGTATAGCAACCGTGTCCTGTATCAAAAAAGCTCCACTTTTTGTAATGAAAAAGCTGCCTTTTGCGCTCCAGTTTAGTGAATTTCCCCCGTCTGAGATGATGTCATCAGTTTGTTGCAGACAGGAAGCAGCATTTCAGCTGTTTCCTCTCCCCCAGTGATCAGATAATTGCTTGTAACGCCAGGCCTGTTTCACAGGTCGGCTCAGTAGATCGGGAGGTGAGCGAACACATACCGGCGTTCGCTCACTTCTCGATCCTGTCACGGCTCTCTGCCGTGTCACATCCCAGATGAAGAACACATTTGGATTAAAGTTTTCCTGCTTTTCCCCACTCTACCCGCAGCTAAGAAAAATACAAGTTTTTCTATAAATACTTTATTGATTTTTATTTTTTGAAAAGTCAGCATTTTGTTTCTTCTGCAGAGTGACTTACGGTAAGATGACGGTGGTCCGGCCGCCTGCGGAGATTGCCCGATACACCATGGTCTTTCACACCAGGGACTCCGGAAATGAGGTCAACAACAGGAGGTGAGATGGTGACACCTTATAGGCTCGGGTCTTGTCCCCTCCGTGTGTTCCAAACATTTATCACGTTCCGTGGTCACCCAGGATGCATCCAGGGAGAGTGATTTCATTCCTAACCCAATGTAATAATATCGCGTATCTTTACATGCGGTGTGCAAGCGTTTTACATGCAACCGCTGTCACCTGATAATTAACGTGAATAGGTGACAGCTGCCGATTTTAAAAGCCAGATTAGGGATTCCTGCTGCAGAAAGACGCAAGTTCCTGATACAGGAATCCCTAATTGCACCTAAAGATACAGGTGTGAATGGAGCCTAATACACTCACCTCATACACAAAAAAACTACCCCTGCACATGCATATATAAAATAATACACGCAGGGGTACTGAGGCTCCAGGCTCAGGCTGACTGCAGAGTTGATGATTGGGACACGAGGGTTCGAATTCCACTGTCCTCTGCTAATAATATCCCCAGAGTTCTGCACATGGACGTGTAACACTTGCTGAACATACCGGTTTATGTCAGTGGGGAATATGGTGATCTATCCGATGCCAAGAGCAGGGCCAATGTTATGACCTCAGCACCACTCTCTGAATCATCCCTGTACGTGAGTGCAGAGTGCCATGATGATGCCCTATCAGGGGGCGGGTCCATGACAGCCTGCACTCACAGCATTTCCTTATCCTTCCTGGTTCAGTGAGCCCAGTGTGATTTAACCCAGAACACCGAGGACATCTGGTGGTGGAAAGGGAATGCTGCTGGGGACGGCGCACTTCCCTGAGTGGTCATCAGTGATCCCATGAGCAGGGCCGATACAATGATCTCAGTGCCACTCTCTGAATTGTATGTGAGCACTGATGATGCCCTGTCAGGGGGCGGGCCCATGACGACCTGCACTCGCATGATTTCGTCAGCTTTCCTTACTCAATGGCGCTCAATGTGATTTAACCCAGAACACGGAGGACATCTGCAGGGGACGGTGCACTCTCTTGAGCGGTCAGCACTGATGCCAAGAGCAGGGCCAATGCAATGACCTCAACGCCACTTTCTGAATGATTGTACGCAGAGAGCCATGATAACAGGGGGCGGGTCCATGACAACCAGCACTCGCAAGACTTTCTCAGCCTTCCTGGTTGAATGACACCCAATGTGATTTAAACCAGAACACCTGAGCAAGTGATGATTACAGGGTGGTAGTGCTGGCAAAGCAAGGGGGGTGCGGTGTACCCTCTGTACAGATACAATGCTCCTTCTCTGCCTATTCCTTGGATCTTCTGGCTGCCGCTGGGGAGCAGTGGAAGGTCTGAAAACATTAGGACTTGCTCCCATACTGGTGATTGTTTATATGCAATGATGCTGGGTCTGTTTTAACCCCTTCGCTGCCAATGACGTATCTCGTATGCCATGGCATTGCAAGGTTTAAAACTTAAAGCCGACAGTCGGCTCTACAAGTTTAAACAGAGTCCCGGCGGCAAAAGTCGCCGGGAGTCTGTTTAAACAGCCCCGATGCTGGCGACGTACACTGTACATCGTCAGTCACGAAGGGGTTAAGAAAAAATATTTCCTGTTTTGGGGGGTTTTTGGGCATAGAATTTGTTTTATTGCATGTGGGGGTAAAAGGGTTAAATTGGCCCCGCTATGCCCCAACTACGGACACAGATCCATACTGGCCGGTTATTCAGGTATTGATTCCTTCTCTTCTTGTGTCACATAATGTCGTCTCGCCCACAGGATGAAGCTGTTGAAGGAAGTGTCCAAGGTCTGGAAGACGGACGGCCTGAATTCCTGCACCTACAAGCTGCTGTCGGTGGAACACGAACCCCTCTACATAAACATCACAGTGGACATAGGAAGGCCAAAGTATTAAATGGACCCCAATACATAACTGACAGCTATAGAGACTGCAGGCCGAGCAGCCGGGACTGACCCGATGCTGCCGAGCGGAACCGCGTCTCCGTTTCACACATCGGAAGAAGAGAAGCCAAGAAACCCCCATCAATCCCCCAAATCTCTCCTGGGGACCATATCGGGGCAGATGGACTTTATAAGTAGAACTTATTCTGAGCAGGGAACCAGCCATATAACCTATCACATCGCTCGGAAGGTTGATAGGCTGAGAGCTGTTTCTTGCTCACTGTAGCATTAGGGTGCACCTAAAGGGACACTAAGGGTCCGTTCACCTAAAGGGACACTAAGGGTCCGTTCACCTAAAGGGACACTAAGGGTCCGTTCACCTAAAGGGACACTAAGGGTCCGTTCACCTAAAGGGACACCCAAGGGTCTATTCACACTAGCACACTTACCAGCATCCTGAATCGTGGGCCAGAAGGATAACCTGGTCCAAACCAAACCCTTCGAACACAGGAAGAGCTCACCCAAATGTGAAAGGAAGCTCCTTCCATTGCTGCCCGGTCGGCTGCAGCTGGGAAATTCCCTGCCTGCAGCTGCACATGAGCGGAGGGACGCAGTGATGTCATTGACCTTATGTGGCCATATATGGTCCATGACCTCAGTACAAGCATCTCTCCCCTCTGTTTTATATACTGTGGCCCAAAGCTTATTAGGCGGGTGACATGGCACCACTTCCATATTCTGAGGAGCTCAGGTTTGAACCT